TGCCTTTTCCATATCGAGGAACACAGACAGAAAAAATTGCTTATGAACAAAAGCATCGCGAATTTGTGCTTCGATACGGACAAGGTGGTCAGTGGTGGACCGAGCCTCTCGAAATCCACACTGGTATGGGTCAAGTAGGCCAATAATTTCAAGGAAGTGCATCAGGCGCCTGTTAATCATTTTTTCAAAGACTTTGCAAATACAGCTGGTTAATGCTATTGGCCTGTAGCTGGAAACTGAGGCCGGGTCCTTGCCTTGTTTTAGAATTGGGATAATGATAGCTTCCTTCCAGGCTGAGGGTAGCTCGCCAGAAGACCATATCGCATTATAGAGAGAGAGGAGAGCTTTGTGGGTTTCAGTGGGCAGGTGTTTCAACATTTCATATGCCACACGGTCCGGGCCTGGGGCAGATTTATTGCAGCAGGCAAGTGAGGCCTGCAGTTCAGCCAAACAGAAAGGTTCGTTGTATGCCTCATGTGTTCTGGGCTTGCGCTCTAATCTCTGTTTTTCTATTGCGGTTTTGTATCGTCGGAACGCTTCACTATAGTGTGTTGAGCTGGAGACCTGTTTAAAGTGTGCTCCGAGAGTGTTTGCCTGGTCTTCCAAACTCTCGCCTTGGGTGTTCACTAGAGGAAGAGAATGTGCTCCTCGTCCTGCCACCTTACCAACCATACTCCAGACTCTCGACTCATCTGTGTATGAGTTAATGCCCGACACAAATTTGTGCCAACTTTCTCTTTTCGCCTGTCGGCGCGTCCTCCTTGCTTGCGACTTAACGTTTTTAAAGTTTACAAGATTCTCGGCTGTGGGCGAGTATCTAAGCAACCTCCATGCCTTATTTTGTTTTTTTCGAGCATCACGGCACTCATTATTCCACCATGGCACTCGTCGTTTGCTTGACGGTCCACATGTTTGGGGAATACATTTTGTTGCTGCATCAACCAAGAAAGCTGTGAAGTAGCATACAGCATCCTCTATGCTCAATGTCGCCATGTCAGTCCAAGATAATAAAGTCATTTTTTGAAACTTTTCCCAATTGGCTTTGTCGGTGAGCCATTTGGGAACTTGTGCAGGACATGTATTTGTTAATGATGTGCGAATAACGATAGGAAAATGGTCACTACCATATGGATCATTAATGACTTCCCATTTAAGTAGAGGCAGGAGTGATGGGGATATTATGCTGAGGTCTATTGCTGAGTACGTATTGTTAGCGATGTTGTAATATGTTTGCTCTTTCCGATTCAGCAGGCACGCACCGGAAGAAAACAGGACCTGTTCAATCAGGCGACCTCGAGCATCGCAGCGAGAGTCACCCCATAGATTGCTATGTGCATTGAAATCTCCCAGGAGAATATAAGGTTCTGGAAGTTCCTCTATGAGGGACTCGAATTCATGCTTTTCAAGACGGTGTTGCGGAGGTATGTAGAGAGAGCAGATGGTGACGAGCTTATTTAAAAGAACTGCTCGAACAGCCACCGCCTCAAGGGATGTTTGTAGTGGTAGGTGTGTGCATGCAATCCCTTGATTGACTATAATGGCAACACCACCGGATGGCACAGTGGCATCATTCCGGTCTTTCCGAAAGATAACGTAATGACGTAAAAAGTTGGTGTGTTTAGGTTTCAGGTGTGTCTCTTGTACGCACAGCACCTTAGGTGTATGTTTGTGTAAAAGTTCATGGATATCGTCGAGGTTTCTCAACAGTCCTCTGACGTTCCACTGTAGTATTTGTGTCATTTTAATGTAGTGTGGTGCTGTGTGTACAGAGGTGTTGCGTTAGTTTACAGGGCCTTTTGAGGGCCCCGTGATTCGAGGTTTTTCTTTTTTGGCGCGCTCTAAGGAGTTGCGCCTATCCTTCGGCGTCTGAGGCGCCGCAGGAGTGGGACTTGTATCCATCACCTCTTGTGAGGTGGTGGATGGTGCCTGCTGGGCAGGCACATTCACTGAACTTTTGGACCTAACTGCGCCTGCAGTGGTCCCAGGTTCGGCAGACACCGGGGTCTGCCGGCCCTGTTTGTCAGGTGGCGGAGCAGTACAGGCTGCTCCAGCCGGGGGCGCTGGCGGCACGACCGCGGCCACACACTGTGTGACATTCGCGGGTGCCGAGGCATGTGGCGCGGCGCCCCGGCACGTCACATCTGCAAAGGAGGGATAAGATGGGTTGTGTATTGCGAAACGTTGCCGTGCTTCTTGGAATGTGAGATTGAATTTAACCTTGAGTTCTACTATTTGTTTTTCTTTTTTCCATGCGGGGCATGATCGTGAGTAGGCAGCGTGATCTCCTTCACAGTTCGAACAATGAGATGTTTCTGAGGTGCAGTTGTCTGATATGTGTTGAATGGATGCGCACTTTGCGCAAGTGGCACGCCCTCTGCAACTCTGCGATCCATGACCGAAACGTTGGCACTTGAAACATCGACGAGGGTTGGGAATGTATGGTCTTACACGAAGCTTACAATAGCCGGTTTCGATTGATTCTGGTAGGTCACTTGTTCCGAAGGTAATTATTACGTGTTTTGTAGGGGTAAGTTTGTTGTTGCGCCTTATTGTTATTCGTTGGACTTTGACCACGTTCTGGTCCTGCCAACCTTCGAGCAGCTCACTTTCAGAAAGCTCAGTAAGGTCATCATCAGAAACTACGCCACGGACAGTGTTCATGGACCTGTGTGGGCCCACCGAAACAGGGGTTTCCCCAAAGGCTACAAGCTTAGACAGCTTTTCATACTGGGCTTTGTCACGTACCTCTAAAAGAAGATCGCCACTTCCCATCTTTGTCACTTTATAACCTGGGCCTATTGCTTCTGTGAGAGTTTTGGAAACAAGGAAAGGTGAAATGGCTCGGACTGTCTTGTTTTCGTTTTGACTGTGGATTACATGGTACTTTGGGAATGTCGGCTTTGGTGTGTTTAGCAGGAAAGTATCATCGGTGCGCCACCTTTTTAGGGAGCGATCAGGAAGGAGGGGAAAAGCTTTTGCCATAAAAATACTATAAAGTTCGGCGGCGATGGTGGCCACCCACCACCGAGCCCAACAAGGGGACGCTACAAGGTTGACTAGTGAACACTTGGAGACGCCAGCCATGCATCGCCGCTATAACCGAACTACCCAAGGTTGGGTAACTACACAGGGTTAACCCTCGCCGCCAGGAAATTCTGAAGTAAACGGAAAAGAGAAGATGACAGGACAGATAAAAAGAGAGAGATACAGACGAAGATGTAGGAAGAGAGAGATAGGAAAAGGCGACTGCCGATTTCCCCTGGATGGGTCAGCCCAGGGGTGCCGTCTACGTGAAGCCGGGGCCAAAGGGGTGTGTTGCCTCTGCCGGGGGGCCGTAAAGGTCCAATCACCCAGCGTCGGCTCAACCCCCAGGATCCCCTTTTCCCCGGACACGGCAAAGCCACGCACGGCTAGGCGTGGGAGGGAGTCAAAACTCCCCCGTTAGCTCGGGTCCGTGGTGTCGCTACACACCAAACGCCTACTTGCGCAGGCGCCCCTGCGGGGAAGATTCGGTCCTTCAAAAAGTCATTTCTACGTAACACAAAGTTTGGGTGTTATTGATTTACCAGCACATTTACTACCATAGATGTGTAAATAATGAATAATTTCATGTGTACAATTGGTGTTTGTTGATAGCAGCACCAATAACATAAAAATCTGCATTACTGTGTAACCGAAATCAGTGGCAACCCTAGGTTAGCGCGCCACAGTAGTATGAAAAGTTGCAGTGGCGCCATCTCGTGGCATCCATGCAAAAATGGGCTGCTTAAGCAAAGCTGTTCGTGCTACTACATTTATTCTAGTTCACCATATCGAAAGTAATTCTTAATTGACCGTGCGGAAGTATGTCAGAGTTCCGCGTGCTGACATGGTCAAAAGTTGCACACGCCAGGTGGTGATGGTTGCACCCGGTGGCTCCTCGTTTTTGGAGCTCTCTCAAACTGAAACTGATCAATAATGAGGGGCTTGTAATTAATTATCTGTTGCGTGCTTCAGCAAACAATATGTTGTGTCATGACTAACAGGCTCCCAACAACAGATTGCAGCAAAAAAATGCAAGGCTAAAGTTTTTGTGTCAGTACCCCCTTCAAAAAATATGAATCAGTGCGAGGGTAATATGCTCATTTAACCTAAAGATAAGACTGCACGACAATGTAAATTTTCTCTAAACAGGTGTTTTCACAGCTTAGCATTTCTTCACTGAAGTGAAACCTCCTTTACAAGTAAATAAGCTTTGGGCTAGTTGGTTTTGCATAATGAAGTAAAAACAGTGCGATATTCTAAACATAGACACACACAAGACAGTGCTTGTCTGCGTTGCCTCTTCTGTGTGTCCTCGTGCAGAATATTGTGGTGTTCCTACTTCATAACACCTTTACAACATTTTACATTACATTTTACATTGCATGCAAACTAATATACATTTGAACAGGTGCTTTCACGGGTTAGCACTCTGCCACAGCCGTTCAACCACCTTTACAAGGGGTTATATTGCAGACTAATATACACTCATTCGTTCAATTGAAATACTTTGAAATTTCAATAATTTAAATTTGAACCAAAGTGAATTCAAATATTGTAATATTCATAAAAACATTCAAAGCATTCAAATATTGACAAAAGCCTAGTTAGTAGCGGTAAATGGTAAGCACACAAAATATATCTAAACATAACTATTTTACTTACGTGGCTATAAAGTAAACAAAAACAACTAATTTAGACCTCATGATAATCTCATAACCTAAACACTTGGCACACAAGCATCTGTACATTCTAATTTTAGAACCCTTGAGCTTGAGAGATAATGCGACCATGGAAAGACACTTGTAGAAATGATGAAACAATGAAAGTGGTGGTCTATACACCAGTATCATGGCCAGAATGAAAAAAAAAAATGAGCACAGTCTTTTGCAATAAATATTCCTGCTTACTCTTATAATCAAGTGTCTTGCTTCCGCCCTTTCTTCAGATACTATAGTTAATAAAATTGAGTGACTCACCTTTCACCCTTATCCTTAGTGCAATCGTCAAGCCATTTGCTCACAGTCGTAGACACAGCACTGAAACCCGAAGAGAAAAGCTTCATCCAGAGGGCCACATCTACAGCACCGGCAGTCCGGCCAGCAGGATCGCTGCACCGGTTGTCGATGGCAGCACTGGCCCTGAGAAGTGCTGACGGCTGCAGCCGACTTGAAAGCACTTCCCGAAATTTGCGTCCAGAGTCAAACCAAGAGAGAGCCAACAGCGCTTGGTCACGATCGAATGGCTTTGTATCCATAATTGCTACCTCTTCCTCGGGCCAAAGGACCCCCATGCGTAGATTGAAGTATGTGGCAAACAGAAGCCACATGTCACCGCGGCAACTTGCCAATGCCCCGGGCTGTGAAACCTGCACGAGACACTGTGAAGATCAGCCACTCCTCCACACTACTGACAAGACAAGCTAGAGAAGCACTCCAGTAGAGTAAAAGCTATTGTGCCAAGCCATCTGAAGTGTTTGATTGGCAAAACTCTCAGCCAGCTCCATCCCTTGAAAACCGACAACAAAACTGCAAGCATGTGAGTGTATGTGACTTCCTAGCGAGGGCAGATCTATCATTATCATTTAACATCAGGATAATTTCAAACATCACCGTCATCATTTAGCATGATTATCATCTCCTTTTACTTATATCTTTATTTACTTCACCCTTTGGTCATGTGACGCGAGTGACGCCTACTACTACTACACCGCTACTACAACTACTAATACTGCTCACTACTGCAGTGACTGCTGTGATTACTACTACTACTGCCCCCTACTGCAGCAACGGCTGTGACCGCTGCTGCTACCAATACTACTGCCCCCTACTGCAGCAACGGCTGTGACCGCTGCTGCTACCAATACTACTGCCCCCTACTGCAGCAACGGCTGTGCTGCTGCCGCCGCCGCCCGCCGCCGCCGCCGCCGCCGCCGCCGCCGCTGCCGCTCGCTGCTGCTGCTGCTGCTGCTGCTGCTGCTACTGCTACTGCTACTACTACTGCTACTACTACTACTACTACTACTACTACTACTATACTACTACTACTACTACTACTACTACTACTACTCCCTGCTGCTGCTGCTGCTGCTGCTGCTGCTGCTGCTGCTGCTGCTGCTGCTGCTGCTGCTGCTGCTGCTGCTGCAATCCTTCAATATTTTAACTGGTCACGAAGCTCCGCCTTAACTCTATGGGAGAGCTTTGCATGCTGTGTTTCCGCGGATGGTAGCAGAGGGCATCGCGCAGATGGGGGGTGCATACCAGGTTTGTTCGATTCACCTGGACCAATCAGAACTGCTTCACGACTGTGCACGCGAAGTTCAGAAATTATGCAGCCCAAGTTCAGTGGTACAGGCCCAGTGCGACACCCGAAACGAATGACGTGCTGACAAGATGCATGCCTTATTTCTGTTCGCTTAGTTTCGTAGTAGGGATTGATGGCAAACCGCACATGCATACAGTTTATGAGGCGCAAACACCTTGGCAAAACACATTGCATTAGTGGAGGCAAGTACGGTGCCAACGCCAAATCGCTGCGCCATCTGCTCAGCTGCACGCGTGGCTGCACGAAGCAGGCACCGTCAGCGTAAGAGCTGCAGTAAAATCGTGAACCAGTGCTGCACCTCCACCACTGAAACGAATAGCAAGGTGCAGCACCTCGTGAACTGGTTCATGTGGTGCAGGCGAATTGAAGGGTCTATCACGCTTGCAGTTTTTATCGTATGTTTGGTGTTGTGCCGGGTGTGTTGCGCCTTGAGATCGAAAAGAATGCCACATGTGAACTTATGTAGGCTGACAGTCCTTCAAAAACAAGCATTCGACACATAAAAAACCTTGCATGGCTTGACTATACAGCACCCTTTTACTTTAAAAAATTAGATATTATAAGTGGATCAGCTATACAACCTCAAACTTGGTACATACATACACAGAAAGATGTGTCAAAATGAATCTATATTTACACACATGTACTCGACTAACCGCAATCCATAAAGTTAACGACATAGCCACCTCGAAGGTCCGCTTTGCACAACAAAATACAGCGCTAAACAACTTAAATACATGATCCCTTGTTTCTTAAACCAACATCCGCAAGTACTTAACAGTGTGTATGAAGTTACATCAACATCCCTGTTTAAGCGTGTTGTTAAATCATATTTGTTGTCTTGCGTGCCTTCATAGTATGTGACCTCTAACATCATGTGGCTCATGACCTGTTGCATTATTAAAAAAAAAACTCAATTGTACTATTTCTGTGTGTATGTCGCCCTTTCTTGCAAGTAGCGCTATGTCATGTTTCTTTTTTTTATTTCCGTGCAGAGCTTCCGCTTCCTAGTTTATAATTTCCTAATGATAGTCACAACCCTGTTGGACAGCGCTTGAGTGGTAGGGCCATTGTCAGGCAGTCATTTCTGCCTTTAGCCGTACCGTCTCTTGACATGTATTATGTTGAAAATAAACAATTTCAATTTCAATAACAGCTGCATGCTTGGGTGTTGTACAGTTACAAGAAAAATGACAAGAAGTGTCTAGGTTCTGGCTGCCTAGAGACGGCAAACAGCTGCATGCTTGGGTGTTGTACGGTTACAAGAAAAATGACAAGAAGTGTCTAGGTTCTGGCTGCCTAGAGACAGCAAACGGCAACAAGGAGCAATCGATTCTCCACAAGTGCATGTGTGCGAAAAGCGCTTCAGAGAGGACAGAATTTTTCGCATGGACTAATCGGAGTTGTGAAGTTACTGAGCAATGTTCCAAACCAAATTTTTGCCAGATGTTGTGCCAACAATTGTCCATGGCCTCCCGTAATAATTCTATAGTGTAATAAGGTACAGAGCTTGCCCACCCACACAGCATTACCGGGAACCTTCAGCTGAGCTGGAAACCATCGAGGTTGCACCAGCAGTGTGCACGAGGCCCTAACGATGCAATTAATGAAGGTGAGCATACTGACCACTTTTTCCTCGTTGCATGCCAGTAATACAGAAGTTCGATGAGATAAATTTTCGCCACTTTCGTCTATACAGGCACCGAGATAATCAAAAGCGTGGATGTGGCATGCCAAATAGACGAACCTTCATACAGCTCCTCACAGCTTCAAAAATTCAAAGCTTCCATCTCTTGCTCGGAACAGCATGTGAACATCTCTTGAATGTATTTGTGATTTGGCTGCAATAAACCATTTTGTAGAAAGTTAGCTCACGTGTTGTCTCCTCGCTTTTCGTCCTTGTGTTACCTTGCACTAAATACCATTTCTTCGTCGTTGTCTGCAGCACTTCTCTCCTTATTCTTAAATATTTTCAGAGATTTCTTTTTTTTACAAATGAACTGGTTACTTAATGCAAGCATCATGATCAGCCTGTCTTATCATACGAAGGCACATATACTGCAGCAAACAGTGCATGATGTATGCTCTTGGTCCCTGTGCTATTTTCACTCCATTTGCAGCAGTCCAGCATTATTGGAGAGAAGTAAATATCAAGCTGCGTGCATCTTACCGTATCCAGGGCCTTTTCGTAGATGGCCAGAGCCTCCTTTGGCTGACCCAGGTCGATGAGCAAGAGGCCGTAATCGGTCCACAAATCGAGATTTCGTTCAGAGCCTGGATCTGCCAGCCAGGCTTTGGCACACTTCTTGCGCTGCGATAAGGGACAGCACAGCAGGGCTCACAATATACGCATGACACCACAGCTAAAGAACACCCGCTATTTCTCATCGCTGTGAGAGTAGAATTCTTTTGCCAAATGAAATCGCTGCCACCTCCTTAGAGTGCTCCTATTATTGCATATCTAAAATATTTAGTTACCTTTTTTGAAAGCAATTTACACAATCATTTTTCTTAAAGCAATTATAAACTGACAAAATTTTTTTAATGAGTACCACAATGCTTTTTTATGAATAATAAATGTAAAGAATTATGGGAGCTTCAAATTGCTTAGATTGAAGGAAGTGCCAAGCTGGCAGGCAGTTTTTTTTTATTTCTGCATTTTTTTCTGTTCTTTTTCATGCTTTTTCTTGCTTTACATATAATTATCTCTTCCTCTCTATATTTCTGTTTCTTTCTTTCCCCTGCTCTCTCTTTATTACATGCATGCTTCCTTTTTCCTATTTTTATTAGAGCTGCGAAAATAGCGAAATGCTGGGTGCATGAAAAGTTTGAATATAGAAGTGGGAGTGCAAATCAAATAAAATATTTTTAGAGCATTTCTAGAATAGTCTTCCAACAGTTTGAAGCGAAATTGCAGGAAAACAAAGTTGGAGAGGATTTCTAAGCATATTCTTATGAGATGTAGCAACATGAGCGTTTTTCTTTTTCCTAGGTTGATGAAGTGATGGCGGGGTGGTATTTCATAGTTGTCTTATCCAGAATAAAGCAGCACAGAGACCAAATTCTGTTACAGTTAAGCCTGCTTATAGTGAACTTCTACATTACAAATTTCTCGATTTAACAAAGTTTTTCTATTCCCCACTGTTCCTCCATAGAAGCACATGTATTTGCGACTTCTACATAACAAAATAACAGCGAAAGACATCCTTAATATAACGAATTTTCGCCACGAACAACTTAGAAATTTTGCCAAGAATTTTGTAATTTTGGCACAAAATTACAAAATTGTAATTTTGTAAAATTGTAATTTTGGCCAAGCGCGCCGTGTGGCGGCGCACACGGCGCGCTTGGCCTAGTACTTAAGGATAGCATATACAGTAACTCTAGCTTGGCCTTGGCGACTCCCAGGCAAGAGCGAGCGCTTGTTATTGCACGCAGGTGTGTGCGAGACGGGCAGGCGGCCCTGTGCCTTATGAGCCGCCATTGCTGCCACGGGTGCATGCGCGAATGTGCCCTCCCCCTCCCTCCAAACCAAAAAGTTGGCAGTGCCATGCTTTTAGTCAGCGTCACAAGTGTGGGGTGGCGCTGCATATGAAGGACGCTTTACCGAATAGTTTTCCGCAATGTCCGTGTCATACGCTCTTTGTCTTCCGACGCCTTGCATGCGTGCATGGTTTAACTGCGTGTGCATAGAGTGACCCCTGCCAACTTTCGGCTTCGCTTTTCTTTTTAATGCACACAACCGTGTCGTCACTATTGAAGGTATGTAACTTTGGCACTCATGGGAACTTTTCGAGACCACGAAGACAACAAGGAATCTTCGGAGGTGGACTCATCATGCGCTTAACTCTGTTTTGCGCCCCGCGAGTTTGCGGGGCTGTAGCCTTCACGATTAGCCGATTAGCTCTGGCAGCAACAAACAGCTGTTGAATGCAATGCAATGAATGCAATAGCAACAAATTATAATGTTATACGAAGTAAGGTTGGCAGCCAACTCTAAATCTTGGTTCCAATATTGCAGAAGTCCAACATAATGGTGGTGTAAGCAATAATACAACTGCTTCAGAAGGAGGTGCTCTTTTCATGCAGTCCTTACGCTCTGAAAGCGCACTGACGCTTGCCAAGACAACATGCGCGACAGCAATGGCCACCGTGCCCTTAAAATATTCATCGTTGCTACTCGAGTGTCCCCCACTCTCTTCCCGCATTTTTTCATGCTCGTTTAAGATGGGTGGTTTCCTTTCTGTTTGGGCATTTGAGAGCCATTCCAACATGCGGGGGATGTTATCTTGTGTGCCTTCCAGGCAATATAGATGGGCCGACTCTTTTGAGCTTTGCTTCAGCAGTGCTCACGCACCTTTACTAGGTTTGACAAAGTTACAATGCGCTGGGGCATGTTATCGTTTGGACATGTTACGGAACATGGCGGCAATGACAGAAACCCACAGAAAGTGACCACATGATTGATATCACTGATTGATTGATTTGTGAGGTTTAACGTCCCAAACCACCATTTGATTATGAGAGACGCCGTAGTGGAGGGCTCCGGAAATTTTGACCACCTGGGGTTCTTTAACAAGCACCAAAATCTGAGTACACGGGCCTACAACATTTCCGCCTCCATCGGAAATGCAGCCGCCACAGCCGGGATTCGATCCCGCGACCTGCGGATCAGCAGCCGAGTACCTTAGCCACTAGACCACCACGGCGGGGCATAATTGATATCACTATAATAACGCAGTTATTTCCCACAAGAAAGTGTTTTGGGTTAGCTCAGCCTTCAGTTCCCCTTTTGTTTACTTGTGTGTTTATTTTACAAGCTTTCGTACTGAACCTGCATAAACAAAATCCTCTTAAAAACAAAATTTTCTGGAAGTTTGTCAATTTTATTATATCCATGTTTAACTATAGTAAATGACTTGGTGCAACCAAAGTGTTGCTGACAACACTCTACATGTGAAAGACAAAGAGGCTATTTCCAAGCACGAAAGCTCGGGCTAGTTGGTGTGAAGTCATACTGGCAATTTTTTCACCACGTGAACATTGGGAAACATTCCACGCAGTGAATGAAGATAGTGGGGCGAAGCGTCTGTCAGCCCGTCCATGCTTCCGTCCGTTCGTTCTTGCTTCCGTCCGTCGGTGCGACCATCCGTGCGTCCATCCATGCGTCCGTCCGCGAGACCGTCCATCCATCTGTCTGTCTGTCTGTTTGTGCATCTATCTGTCCGTACGTCCATCCATCCGTACGGCACATACCCGCTCTAGAGCGGGTATGTGCCACACGGTGGCTACGTGCTACTACATACATACAAGGGATGGACAGACCCACGACTTAAATGCTTTGCCTCTGAAAATGACAGAGTAGACAGAAACAGCACAGACTTCCAGCTTACTTTATTTTACATAGTGGCAAAATAAATGTGTTGAAAAGGGGCAATACAAAAGAGGAAGATAAAAATTTGGCAGACCCCACAAACCTAGGAGGAGGAGGAGGAGCAGGAGGAGGAAGGAAAGAACCTGGGAATTGAAGTTATGCGAAGCATGTGGAGGAAAGGTGACCGTGTTGTAATTTTTTTATTGAGCAACACGTCATGAAATGACGCTAAAAATATATACAAATGTTGCACACACAAACATATATTAAAGAGGTACAGATGTTTATATAACCAGTTATTTGCACTTGCCCAACATGTCAACTGGAACATGCCTAATAGCAATACCAGAAGCTTATCTTAAGCGCTGATGCTAGAGAAGATGCTGGCCCTGGGCACTGCTACATGAATCAACTGCAACGCATGTCACCTAACCGCAATTGACGTTAATCCGACATGACGGCTGTATCAAATGAGTACATATGTGATGTTTATAAACTTGAGTTGGCCGCACTGCCCCCACTATTGACGTTTTACGAAGATTAGCGTCTATTTGTAAAGTAGTTCCGAGACCTGGTGTAGCTCTGTGATAAAATGCTTGACTGCCAGGCAGAATGCTTGGGTTCGATACCTGTTGGGACCATGAAATTTATTATTTGCATCAGCGGCAGTGACGCTGTCTCCCAATTGGACCTCTCAATAAGATATTCCAACTAAAGCGCGCAGGACCAAATCTGACTGGTTAAAGTACATGCTAATTTTGTAAAATACAAGTGCACTTCATTTGTACTCCAATTTGTTTAATTTTTTATATTTATATATTGAGTGCATTAGAACTATTGCACATTATTTCTTATGCATTTGTGAAATCCCAGTGTAATCTGTGCACCCCCTTCATGGAGCCAGATTTTCAGAAAAAAAGTATGTAAATTATGCGAGTAAATACAGTATTCAATGTTGGTTAAATGTGGTAATCAAGATTTCATCTCAGACTGTTATCAGCGGGTGATTCATACGTCAGAACAAGCAGATGCAAGCTTTCCCAGAAAACAGTGAAAACGTCAGAGGAAATGGCCTGAAAATCACTTTTTGAACATTCACAAGCCTTAGGTAGTGTGCAAAATAATGATGAGCCCTGGTTTTTTTTTTTTAAAGGACCCCCGATACCAATTTTGGAACTCGAGATGCTTGAGTTGTTTGAGAGTCCTGAGTGCACTTCTGACTGATTATTAGGGACGAGCATTGCCTATTAGATATTTTGATTAGGATTTAAAGAGAGGATGCGTGCTCGTCATTTAAGATCAATTGACATTTTCTGTGGTTTCACGTAGACAGGGGGTCTCGGCACGTTGCAGAGGTCAAGTACGTATTGTCGACATCAGGGAGCATTTGTGGCACCGACTGGCACTCAGCGAGAACTGTTGTCTGTTAACCCTCTCACCCTGTTGTCGGGCTGCTCCCAAAGTGGTTTCGGCTGCGGAATGTCTTTTCGTTTTTTCTGAGGGGGAACACACTCGAAGCACCCATATTGTCTCATTCATCAATGCTTCTGGGTCCCCCTGCTTGAAAACGGCACGTTCAGCGTCACCAAAGCTTGAGCGCACACAGTCTTACGCGCTGACCCACTGCGAGGCGTCAGTTTTGGACATTTCGAACTGACGCAAGATCATTCTGAATTAATGATGCTAGCATTTTTTATATGACGCAGTGGAGTATTTACAATTTATTTCAGCCTTACCAGACGTAAAGCTACAAGTCGGAGTAAAAAAGTCCCAACCAAAACTTTTGCTGTCCGGTGTCCTTAAGTTTATCCTTTGTTTAGTGTTAGGCCTAAGAGTGCTTTCACTGGCTTGTTGAGTCCGTATAAGGCTGCTCCATTAGCGCGGTCGTCAGCAGGATTTGTTCTTGGGGGGCAGCAAACCAGTGTTGCATCACAGCT